CCCAGACTCAACAACTTGAAAAGCACGCAGAGCCTGTGTGTGTGTGTGTGTGTGTGTGTCCAAAATCCTGAGAGGAGAATGGAGAAGAGATTGTGGCGTGTCCATCCCTCCCAAGGGGTGATTTCTCACTTTCCCTCTCTCTCTCTTTCTCTCTCTCTCTCTCTAGTGAGCATGCATGCCTCTAGCAAATTAAACATATGTGTGTGTGTGTGTATACACAATTTTTAAAAACAATTCATCTGATCGTCATCACACCTGAAACCAGATTCCAATTCCTCGCCTTGGCTTCCACGGTGGCTTTCTTCTGTAACTCCTCCCACTACTCAGACTGCCCCAGCCTAGCACCTCCTTATTCTTCCCAGAATATACCAGGCTCAGGCCCACCTCTGTGATTTTATGCTGCCTTCCCTTTCTGCCTCGGACAATCTTTCCCCAGATACACTCAGTTCCCCCTTCATTCAGGCCTCTGCTCAGATCTTCTACCCAGTGGGTCCTTCCTGAACATTCCATCCGTAACAGCTTCTTCCCAGTCGTTTCAGCCCCAGCCTTGGTTTGCCTTCTGGCATAGCACTTCACTCCACCTGAAGTCTACTCTGTTTACTGTCTGGATTTCTCTAGCATTTAACTCACACGTGGGCAGTATCTTCACTGCCTTGTTCACATGGTACCAGGCTCAGAACAATCCCTAACATATTACTTAATAATTACTTTTGTTTAATGATTAATTAGTACCTCTTTTCTGAGTTGTTGTGAAGACTAAGTAAGACAGCATGATCAAAGTGCTTAGCACAGTGACAGACAGAATCAGTATTCGGTAAATGCAAGCTACTGCCATTATTCATCATTGTATCCCCATTGCCCGGCATAGTGGCCAACACAAATTAGATGCACAATAAAGGATTAGATGGATAGTGCAGATGAACAAATGGGTGAGTGAATGAATGGGTAAATTTATAGGTAGGTGTGAGGATGGATGGATGGGTGGATGAGTAGATGAATGGATGGATGGATAGATGGATGGACAGATAAATGAATGGGTGAATGAGTGGATGGATAGATAGAAGAACTGATTAATGGATGGGTGGATCGATGTATGAATGGATTGATGGATGCATGAGTAGATGGATAGAAGGATGGATGGATGAGTGGGTAAATGGATAGATGGATGGATGGATGGATGAATGGATGGATGGATGGATGGATGAGTAGATGGATGGATAGATGGATGAGTGGATGGATAGATAGATGGATGGATTAATGGGTGGATGAGTGAGTGGATGGATTGATGAGTGGATGAATGGATAGATAGATAGATAGATAGATAGATAGATAGATAGATAGATGGCTAGATGGATGGATGGATTAGTGGGTGGAGGAGTGAGTGGATGGATTGATGAGTGGATGGATGGATGAGTGGACTGATGGAAGGATGGATGGGTAGCTGAGTTGCTGTCTTAATGAGCACCCAGAATTCCTGGAGGAAAGCTGGGGGAGCTTTTCTTTTCTTTGAGATTTTGGTGCGATCCTTGCATTGGGATGCTCAGGAGAGGTAAGGCGTCAGATTACATAATCAGGATATTTCTCACACTCCAAGCAGATAAGCATCACTTCACATTTCACATTGCTGTCTCATCTCTGTCCCCATTGTCATTTTCAGAGTATCTCCTCAAGCAGGATGGTAGCCTATTTTCCCCACTTACAGGTGAGAAAACTGAGGCCCAGTTGATTCATCCACATCCTACAGCCAGAAAGTAGAGTGCTGGTCCTCAGTCCCCTGCCTCTGAACTCCTGTTCTTTCCATTTGTCCAGGAACTGAGAGGAGTGGAACCCAGGCAGCTGAGAACATTCCTTTCGGGCACTATTCCTGTTAGGTCCTAGCAGCAAGCGAAAGGGGCCAGGCTCTGAGTGCCAGGAGCTGCTAATGGGCTTCTTGGTGGTGGTGGGAGTGGGGAGGGAAGTGACAGCAGCTAGCCTGGCTTCCAGAAGCAGCATCTTGATGCCGCGTGAGGGAGGGAGTTTGGGACCATCTGCTGCAAAGGCGCTTGTCTGTTGGCAGCTGCCAGAAGAGAGCTCAGAGACGCAAGGGAGGAGCACACGCCTCCCCCACCCACCTGCTGTACCCCTGGGCCAGCTCCCCCCAAGGAAAGGGCGCTTAGGGTAACAGGGAGGCAGTCTGTTCTTTCCTGGGGAGTGGGGGTGCACCCAGCTGTGTCCCTCCTCTGCTCATGAGCTCTGAGTACCCCTCCAAAGCTCCATGTGCCATCAAGTTCTGCTTCTGACACTTCCTTGCAGTGTGATGTTGGGCAAGCCACTGCCCTTCCAGAGCACCTGTTTTATGACCTGCAAAATGGGTTTCATGGTAACCACTTTCATAAGCACCAAGTTGGTGTGTCAGCCCTAAAACAGGGCCTAGAACATGGCACCTGATGCATGCTGGTTCCTTCTCCCTGCAAGGCCAGCAGGTCCAGGCCCAGACCCTGGCCTGAAGGAATTAGGACTTTTAGAAAGAAGAGCAATGAGGACTCCTATCTAGAGGGGAGAGGTGTCTGCCCTGGTCCTCCAGGGGCTCAGCTTCTTCAGGTTAGGGATGCCTGCAGCGCCCTCTGCTGGCCACAGCCGTCAGCACCACCCCAGCTGCACTGCCAACACAGAAAGAGCAAATAACCCAGGACTAGACTGCCCCCCTGCCGTGTTTCCCACCTGCAAATTAACCTTACACAGCACTTAAAAGTTAATAAACCAGACAGGAAAGTTGCTTGACCTCTCTAAGCCTTCCTTTCCTTGTGGGGACAGTCTCAAAAGTCTGGAAGCTTAAGTGAAATCATGCCTGAGACTTAACGTAGGCCCTGGCATGTGGCACTCATTTGGCCAGTTTAGCCACAAAACCCACCATCTCCTGATGTCCCTAACTCCCCAGGGTGGCAGGGTTATTATAATTGCTCTCTTTGCATTTGGGGAAAGCAAGGCGGAGAGGCTCACCCCGGGGTACACAGAATAGACTGGAACTTCGCTCTCCTAGGCTGGAGCCCCTCCCGCAGGCTGGAGGCCCATCCGATGCAGAGGAGGAAGCCACCCTCGTCTTGCCGGCCGTTCTCACTCCTCGGCGTAGACTGGGTTCTCCACATCGATGCTCCCTCAGCCCCACACGGCTCTTCAGATGTCTTGCTCGTGGTTTAATTAACAGTCCTTCGGTCTTGTTCTTAGAGAACGGAATTGGCAGTGCCCGGGAGACCACCTACATCTGCCAGCAGCTGCAATTTTTGCTCTGAGACCTCTGAGTGGAATGGAGAGGCTTGGGGACCAGGCAAGGGCAGGTGGGATAGAACAGGGCAGCCCTAGGGGCCGGGGCAAAGCTTTGCTCCTGCCACTGCCCTGGGAAGAGGTGAACAGAGTGGTACAGACCATGGGGTCCAAGCAAGACCCCAACGCCTTCCTTTGGCACTTGAAGCTCTATAGAACCTGTCCTCAGTCCCACACCTGGGTGGCGCATCTCAGCTTACATGTGCCTCTTTGGAAGAGACACTGTGACACCCACATCTAAAGCCGTCATGTGCTAACTCCCTGTCACCTCCCCTTGCTCCACATATCTGCACATAGCGCAGTCCCTCTTTATGTCTGCCTCCTGAATGTCCCCCTTGCTAGAGTGCAAGCTCCAGTCCACAGGCACTCAGACTTGCTCACCACCATCTCCCCAGGCCTGCTCAAAGCCTGACATGTGACTGGCTTGATAATTACTGTTAAATGAGTGAGTGAATGAATGAATGGACAGATGGATTAATCTGGGGGAAAGAGCCCTGGCTTGAAAACCAGGAAACGGGGATCACCGACTTTGCAGGTGACCCTGGAAAAGCCTCTTCATTCTCCACGAGCCTCTGTTTCCCAACAGATGCATAAGCTGGTATGCCCGGTGACACCCAGTGCTCACCCATCCCTGATACTCTCCAGGCCTTGTATGCAAGATAGCGACACCCTTGAGCATCTTGCCTCTTGAGCTCAGAGATCTAAATGGGGCTCAGATAAGACATGCTATTGATCAGCAGATGGCATAATGGTTATGTCTCTGGACTGTCATGTAGTTGACCATGGTTCAAGTCCTGGACCCGGCAGCTGTGTGCATGTGCATGCATGCCCGGAATCCTGAGAGGAGAATGGAAGAGAAGGGATTGTGGCATGGCCATCCCCCCTGGGGATGTCTCTCTTTGTCTCTCTGTTGAGTGCACGTGCTCGTTAGCAAAAGTCTTTCCAAAAAAAAAAAAAAAAAAAAGGCACGTTATCAGGATGTGAGGAGGAAAGGTAGGCTGAGACTGGGCCCAAGGATGGAGACGCCGCTCCACGCCTCGTCCACCTCCCACCCAGAGATTCCAGAAACCTCACTGGGAGGATTTATCTAGTGAAGGAGCAGTGGGTCGGGAGTCAGGAGACCTGAATTTTGACCCAGATCCTTTTCCACTGTGCGACCTTTGACGAGTCACTTCCTGACCCTCTGAGCCTCAGTTAAGGCAACTGAACAACAGGGGTGAAGATGGAGCATCCCCCTCACATGGCGTATTGCAGCTGGAAGTTTGAATGCCTCCAGTAGTCCGGCCGCTGGAACAGGCCTCTCCCCACCCAAGGACTGAGTCACCTATCGGGGCGCCGCCCCGGGCCTCCCTCCCTGATGTCACCACCCACGGGCTCCTCTGATCTTTTCATTTGTCACTCTGACTTGCACTTGCCGGTCGCTTGTATCTCTCCCCTCCGAGGCAGGGGTTGTGCCTGAACACCATGAATCCCAAGGTCCCGGACAGGGCCTGACTTGCCGCAGTGGCATCAAGGGGGGAGGAGGGGAGCGTGTGTGCATGATCGAACCAGGGAGCCAGCAAGCAGCGCGCCCCTGCAAAGCCCATTCCCAAGATGCTGACTGCAGACAGAACCCTCTCGCTCATGTCCCCTGCCTCTCCTTCCTTACTCACCTCTGCCCACACACGCGCCTCTCTGACCTGGCTTTCCTCTCCCTCCAGTTGCCCCCAAAGGGCCCAAAATCGTGATGACGCCCAGCAGAGCCCGGGTCGGAGACACAGTGAGGATTTTGGTCCATGGATTTCAGGTCAGCCTCCCACTGAGTATCGGGGGGGGGGGGAGGGGAGGAGGGCACAGCACCTGGG